TAAAACTGTAACTTTTAAAGACTGTGAGAAAAGTATGGCCACTCCTTCACTGACATTAGAGCCATGACTGAGAAAATAATCTCCCCTCCACCACAAACCCCAATCAGCTGCTCCATCCTCACTATATATGTTTAACTGCTTTAGGCTAAAGAATTCAGAAAACACAGACTGTTTACCCCTATCCCTCAACCCATTAACGTTCGGAGAGCCCACCCTCAGAAGCCCCATCAACGCAGGAAATACAAGGAGAGAACAGAGAAGAGAACGAGAAAAGCAGACAGGAGAGGCCCTTTCCCCACATGCACTGTATTCATACATTCATATGGTCAGAACCAGCTCTAGTACCAGACTTTGCTTTTCGGACCACAGTTACATGTTTTTTCAGACGAAAACACTTTTGCCGTGAAAGAACATCATAGCCAACACTCTTCTGCACCTTCGACACTGAACACACAAATTTGTCCAAATCAGGGAAAAAATCACTGACGTCTACAGGTCTGCCTTTAGTCTCATCCAGGAACGAGTTGATCTGATCTACCGTGTACAGCGTTTCACTGCTGAACTGACACAACCGACTCAGACTGAGACTCACTCACAAACATAGACCCTGCAGTGTTACACCCCTCACCACTCAGCCCAACCACCTCACCACTGTCCACTACAGCACAACCCTCACCACTGACCCCAACACCAGCAACACATTCACCTTGACTAGCCTGCTGCTGATCCCCCACTCTCCTGAACATTCTCCACACCCAAACGCTCACTCACCTCCTCTCCACGGTTCACCTCCCGAGCAAAGGACGTGCCTTCACCGGGGCCTTGTGTCACATCCACCTCAGCGGTCTCCCTGCGCTCGGTCGCAGTGGAAACCCGGTTCTCCTGAGCTTCTCTCTGATTTTTATGTGGGCACACAAACTGCTTATGGCCGATATCACCGCATTCAAAACATCTCAAGCTATCTGTACTAGCATACACCATGAACGAGCTCTCTCCGTGAGCGACGCAGAAAGAGGCCTCCAGCATTTTATCAGGGCTGTTCAGAACACTTGCCGCCTGAAAGACAGGTCATGTTTGAGCGGCGCGGCCTTACAGCTGAGCGGGATCAGCGATATCGCACTGGCGAATTTTCCAAAGCGGCTCAGCTCCTTTGCGAATAGTTCGTTTGAAATAAACGGCGGGACGTTGGAGATGGTGACCTTTGTGGCCGGCGACACCGGCACAAAGGTATCCATAACCCAAATACCACTCTCGACTAGCTGATTGACCAAACGCTCGTCTTTTAAAAAGATGACAACAGCTTTGTTCATTTGCGAGGCAGAGTGAATTTGGTCATTTCCAACTTTGTTGCCCACCGCTAAAAGCACGTCCTCAACTGTAGCTTCAGCAGCTGGGACACATCTAAAGCCATTAGAGAGGAGAGAGAAGGCACCATGGCCCTCACCACTCACAGCGGCTACACACACCACAGTAAACACCAACAATCAGAAAATTAAGTCAAAGAAAGATACAAGAAAAAAAAGGAGAAAAAGTGAAAACTCTCCAACACACCACAGCTCCCTCACACACACAGCACTCTCACACCGCCCAATTCCCAGCATGCACAGAGAGAGAGAGAGAAAGAAGGAGAGAGAGACAGATAGAGAGACAAAGAGAGAGAGAGAGAGAGAGAGAGACAGAGAGACAAAGAGACAGAGAAAGAGAGAGAGAGAGAGAGAGAGAGAGAGGGAGAGAGAGACTCTGGGTTACAGTAATGAGATTGGGTTACTGTAATGAGTTCGGGTTGATTGTGGGTTACAGTAATGAGTTTGTGTGACAGTAATGAGTTTGGGTCGATTGTGGGTTACAGTGATGAGTCTGGGTTACTGTAATGAGTTTGGGCTTCTTGTGGGTTACAGTAATGAGTTTGGGTTATTGTAAAGAGTTTGGGTTACAGTAATGAGTTTGGGTTACAGTAACGAGTTGATTACAGTAATCAGTTTGGGTCAATTGTGGGTTACAGTAATACGTTTGGGTTACACTAATGAGTATGGGTCGACTCTGGGTTACATTAATGAGTTTGGTAAACAGTAATAAGTTTGGTTTACTGTACTGAGTTTGGGTGGATTGTGGGTTACTACAATGAGTTTGGGTCGACTCTGGTTCACTGTAATGAGCTTGGGTTACAGTGATGAGTTTGGGTCAATTGTGTGTTACAGTAATGAGTTTGGGTTACAGTGATGAGTTTGGGTCAATTGTGGGTTACAGTAATGAGTTTGGGTCACGAAAATAAGTTTGGTTTGACTCTGGGTTACAGTAATGAGTTTGGGTTACTGTAATGGGTTTGGGTCGATTGTGGGTTATAGTAATGAATTTGGGTTACAGTAATGAGTTTGGGTTGAATGTGCATTACAGTCATGAGTTTGGGTTACAATAACAAGTTTGAGTAACAGTAATGAGTTTGGATCGACTCTGGGTTACAGTAATGTGTTTGGGTTGACACAGTTACCGTCATGAGCTTGAGTTACAGTAATGAGTTTGGGTTGATTTTGGGTTACAGTAATGAGTTTTGGTTACAGTAACGCGTTTGGGTTGAGTGTGGGTTACAGTAATGAGTTTGGGTTACAGAAAAGAATTTTGGCACAACTCTGGGTTATAGTAAAGAGTTTGAGTTACAGTAATGAGTTTGGTTTACAGTAATGAGTTTGGCTCAACTCTGGGTTACAGTAATGAGTTTGGGTTATTGTAATGAGTTTTGGGCTGATTGTGGGTTACTCTAATGTGTTTGGGTTACTGTAATGAGTTTGGTTATGGTACTGATTTTGGGCTGATTGTGGGTTACTGTAATGTGTTTGGATTACTGTAATGAGTTTGGGTTACAGTATTGAGTTTGGGCTGATTGTGACTGTAATACGTTTGGGTTGATTGTGGGTTACAGTTATGAGTTTGGTTTACTGTAATGAGTTTGGGTGGATTTTGGGTTACTATAATGAGTTTGGGTTACAGTAATGAGTTTGGTTTATTGTAAGGGGTTTAGGCTGATTGTGGGTTACTGTCATGAGTTTGGGTTACTGTAATGAGTTTTGGTTACTGTAATGAGTTTGGGCTGATTGTGGGTTACATTAGTGAATTTGGGTTACACTAATGAGTTTGGGTTACAGTAATGAGTTTGGGTCGACTCAGAGCTACAGTCATGTGTTTGGTTAACAGTAATGAGTTTTGGTCGATTGTGGGTTATGGAAATGACTTTGGGTTACAGTAATGAGTTTGGCTTGACTCTTACAGTAAGGTGTTTGGGTTGACACTGAGTTACATTCATGAGTTTCGTTTAATTGTGGGTTACAGTAATGAGTTACCATTACAGTAATGAGTTTGGGCTGATTCTGAGTTACTGTAATGAGTTTGGGTTACAGTAACGTGTTTGGGTTGAGTGTGGGTTACAGTAATGTGTTTGGGTTACCGGAGTCAGTTTGGGCAGATCGTGAGTTAAAGTAATGTGTTTGGGTTACAGTAATGAGTTTTTGCGTGACTCTGGGTTACAATAATGAGTTTGGTTTACAGTAATGAGTTTGGCATGACTCTGAGTTACAGTAATGAGTTTGGGTCGATTGTGGGGTACATTAATGAGTACAGGTTACAGTAATTACTTTGGGTCGACTCTGGGTTATAATAATGAGTTTTGGTCGATTGTGGGTTAGAGTAATGAGTTTGGGTTACAGCAACAAGTTTAGGTTACAGTAATGAGTATGGTTTACAGTCATGGGTTTAGGTTGACTCTGGGTTACAGAAATAACTTTGTGTTACCGTGATGAGTTTGGATTGATTGTGGGTTACAGTAAAGAGTTTTGGCTCGACTCTGGGTTACAGTAATAAGTTTGGTTAAAGTAATGAGTTTGGGTTGACTTTGGATTACAGTAATCAGTTTTGTTTACCGTAATGAGTTTGGATTGATTGTGGGTTACAGTAATGAGTTTCAGTTACAGTAATGAGTTTGCACTGATTGTGGGTTACTGTAATGACTGTGGGTTACTGTAATCAGTTTGCGTTGATTGTGGGTTACAGTAAAGAGTTTTGGCTCGACTCTGGGTTACAGTCATGAGTTTGAATTACGGTAATGAGTGTGGCTTATGGTAATGAGTTTGGCTTGACTCTGGGTTACAGTAATGAGTTTGGGTCGACTCTGGGTTACAGTAATACGTTTGGATTACAGTAATGCTTTTGTGTTGACTCTGGGTTACAGTAATGAGTTTCGCTTATCAGAAGTGTTTCTGATCCAATGCAGTGATTTCCACTACAGAGTCATGTCTGTTTTTAATGCAGTGCTGCCTCAGGGCCCCAAAATACTGGTTTTTGGCCTTGTCCCTTACATACAGAGATTTCTCCAGATTCTCTGAATCTTTTGATGATATTATGTACCACAGATGCAAAAGTTCTTTGCTATTTTATGTTGAGAAACGTTATCATTGAATTGTTGCACTATTTGATCGTTCAGTCTTTCACAGAAAGGTGACCCCCCTCCTCATCTTTACTTTAAAAAAAACAGAAAATGCTGTTTTTATACCTAATCATGTTATTGACCTGTTGCCAATTAACGACCAGGTGTTTTTTTTTTGGCATCGCACAACTTTATCAGCCTTTTGTTGCCCCTGTCCATCTTTTTTGGAACTTATTGTTGGCATCAAATTCAAAATGGGCAAATATTTTATGAAAAACGAAAAAAAATTCTCAGTTTCAATATTTGATATGTTGTCTTTGTGCTTTTTTTTAAATTAAATATAGGGTTTAAATGATCCCAACTTTTTTGGAAATGGGGTTGTACTTTACAGGAACATTTTTCGTTCATTCAGGTACAAACAGCATCTCTGCACCTTAAGTATGTCTTTTTCTCATAGAGAAATGAACACATTCGTCCATTTTCATGAACCAACACTTTAAAGCAGTAAACAGTCTGGAGGTGGGCCGAGTGTGTGGAGTTAATACAGCTGCAAAAAGATGGACACTGTGTGTGTGAGGGTACTCACTGCCACAGGTGCGGTTGTATTTGGGGTTCTCCTGAGGGTGACCCTTAAGTCTGCAGTGGAACCGGTGCTGCCAGAACTCAGGGAACCAGGGGTTCCGCAGGTTATTATCCGGACGCAGTTTCAGGTAGTAATCGTCGAACCACTTCACGTCTGCAGACTGGAGCTTTATGGTGATCCCGCCTGCTGCCTCACGCACATACCCGTCCGTCACGTCGTAACGATCCGCCCACCCATCGCTGAGGTTGGAGGAGAGGAGAGAGGGGCAGAGAGAAGGATTAGGGGTCAGCTGAGCATCATTTTACAGGAGTTGAAAACATTCTTTTTAAAAACGTAAACACGGTTTTCCGGTTTTGGTCATGATGTAATGAAAAACACGTTGAGCTTTTAAATGGTTTAACTGGCAGAATATTGAGAAGCTCATTACCACATTTATTTTTACATCACAAACCTCATCAGATCACATGTTTACACTGAAAATCAGATGATTCCCATCACATGTTCACAGCAGAATCGGTGAGTTATCAGTATGTTTATGTCAGAGATAATTACACTTAGCTATTTACAGTGGGAATTGACTGATTCCAATCACACATTTACAGTGAAAACTGATTCCGATCACATGTTTACAGTGGAAATTGACTGATTTAGATCATGTTTACGGTGAAAACTGACTTTGATCATGTTTACATTGAAAACTGACTGATTTCGATCATGTTTACTGTGAAAACTGACTGATTATAAATACATATTTACAGTGGAAACTGATTCCAATCACATGTTTACAGTGAAAACTGACTGATTTCGATCATGTTTACTGTGAAAACTGACTGATTACAAATACATATTTACAGTGGAAACTGATTCCAATCACATGGTTACAGTGAAAACTGACTGATTTCAATCGCATGTTTACAATGAAAACTGACTGATTACAAATACATATTTACAGTGGAAACTGATTCCAATCACACGATGACAGGGAAAAAAACTGACTGATTCTGACCACATGTTTACAGTGAAAACTGACTGATTACAAATACATCTTTACAGTGGAAACTGATTCCAATCACATGATTACAGTAAAAAATGACTGATTACAAATACATATTTACAGTGGAAACTGATTCCAATAACATTTACAGTGAAAACTGACTGACTTTCGATCACATTTACAGTGAAAACTGACTTATTCCAATCATATGTTTACAATGAAAACTGACTGATTACAAGTACATATTTACAGTGGAAACTGATTCCAATCACGTTTACAGTGAAAACTGTCTGATAACAAATACATATTTACAGTGGAAACTGATTCCAATCACATGTTTACAATGAAAACTAACTGATTTCGATCATGTTTACAGTCAAACTGACTGATTCCATTTACATGATTACAGTGAAAATTCACTGATTCTAATCACATATATACAGTGAAAACTGACTGATTCTAATCACGTGATTACAGTGAAAGCTGACAGATTTTGATCATGTTAACAGTGAAAACTGACTGATTCTAATCACATATTACAGTGAAAACTGACAGATTTCGATTGTGTTTACAATGAAAACTGACTGATTGTAATCACATGTTTACAGTGAAAACTGACTGATTTTGATCAAGTTTACAGTGAAAACGGATTGATTCCAATCGTATTTGCAGTGAGAACTGATTCCAAAAAATGTGATTCCATTCACATGATTACAGTGAAAATTGACTGATTCTAATAACATGATTAAAGTGAAAGCTGACAGATTTGGACCATGTTTACAGTGAAAACTGACAGATTTTGATCATGTTTACAGTGAAAACTGTTACCGTGAAAAGCAGCAAGAAACACTGAAACATGGCAGTGTGTGTGTCTGTGTGTTTGTTTGTGGAGGGATTCCATCACTGAGAGATTCAAGGTCAAACTCACACACACACTCACAAACACACCCACACACACACACACACACACACACACACACACACACACACACACTGAAGCAGAGGGACGTGTGGTGAACAGCATTTCTGCTCTGGATAATTAAATGCTGTATTGTTACTGTGTCGTCGTCTATGCAGTAACCATGACAACCAGAAACACAATCCTTACTGAAATAGTCTCCTCTGAAGAGTCGAAAATGTGTGCGTGTGAATGTGTGTGGGTGAGTGTTTGTGTGTGTGTGTGTGTGTGTGTGTGTGTGAGTGTGTGTGTATATGTGTGTGTGTGTGATTTATCAGTTCTGATTGATCTGATTGACCCGATAAAGTGATTAATCGATTAATTGATTAAATGATGTAATGTGGTGCTGACGGCAGATAAAGTGATTAATTGATTAAATGATGTAATGCAGTGCTGACGGCTGACAAAGTGATTAACTGATTAAATGATGTAATGCGGTGCTGACGGCTGATAAAGTGATTAATTGATTAAATGATGTAATGCGGTGCTGACGGCTGACAAAGTGATTAATTGATTAAATGATGTAATGCGGTGCTGACGGCTGATAAAGT